TCCCCCAGAAAAGGCACTCTACTGGCCCCTGATTGCAGGCTCCTTCCAAAGGGCAGGGGCCTTTCTGCACAGTAGTACATGGCAGTGAGGCCTCGAGTGCACAGTTCTGGAGAGAATGAGAAGCAAAACCTGCCAGGCTGGGCTCGGGGTGGCAGCAGCAGCTGCTTGCAGACCCTGATGGAAAGGGGAGGCCAAAGACAGGCCCTGGGCAAATTTGGAGCCAGGTGTCTGGGGGAGGGCACACCAGTGGGAAGGTGCTTCTTCGTCCCCGGGAGCACTGGCTGCTTTCACAGACTGATGGGGAAGGCACAGGCTCCAAGGCTGATATAAAGATTGCTTCTTGGCCCCTTGAAGGCTCAGGACAAGTGGAGTGGTTCCTTAACCTGGCAGGGGAAATACCTTGTATCAGTGTTCATGATGGCAGTTCTCCTGAACTATATCGCAGGAGAACTGCTCTTGTGCCGTGGTTCAGCACCTGCTGAGGTGTAGCGACTTTAAGCCCACTTTATGAAAATGGGAGTCTCCTCCCTTGCTTGCTCCAAGGGCCTTATGGGTAAGGTCAAGCAAAACTTGAGGGCATCTGAACCCCAAGGATCCAGGCTTCAGTCTGCAAATAGGATGCCCCCCAAAGGATTTGGAAACATCTGAAGCCCCAGGTGTGGGTGGAGGATGCTTGCTGGTAGTAGGGCCACTTATGGTTCTGGACTCTTGGATTTGGAATTAGTTTTGGTTAATTTGGCATCAGCTACAAATTCTTATTACAAAAAGTCTCTTTACAGGTTGCCCCAGCGTCTGGGCTGGCCTCTGCCCAAAGTGTTTCCTCTGGCCCCTTCCCAAAATCAAACCTTGACAACCAGCCTCTGGATCCTTCTAGTTCTGGGGTGCCCCACAAGGCCCGAAGGCTGCGTGAAATCTTTCTGTACTCCAGCAGGAGCCTGCTTGCCTGAATTCAGCCACCAGCGGGAAATGAGAAGGTAGGCATCCCCAAGCCTTCCTGGCACTGCTGGCAAAATTATGGATGCTCCCGGGTGTGGATGCGCTGGTATTTGCCCATGGTGGAGGACTTGCTGAATCTCTTCCCACACACAGAGAACTGATGTAGCTCTTCCCCTGTGTGGATCTGCTGGTGTTTGGTCAGGCTGGAGGATTCGCTGAATCTCTTCCCACATTCAGCACTGATGTGGCTTCTCTCCCATGTGCATGCGCTGATGAATGGCCAGGCTGGAGGAGTGGGTGAATCTCTTCCCACACTCAGAGCACTGATGTGGCTTCTCCCCTGTATGGATGTGCTGGTGTATGGCCAGGCCAGAGGAGTCGTGAAGCTCTTCCTCCAAATAAAGCAATGATGTGATGACTGGGTAAATATCTTCGCACACTTTGAGCACTTACATGGTTTCTTCCCTGTGTGGATGCATTGGTGCTGGGCCAAGTTGGGGGGGCCCTCTGTTGTTGGGGCCTCCCCTGGCTCTGGGGCTATTGGTCTTCCTCAGGACTCAGGGACTCCTTGTTGCCAAAACTCCCTGATCAAGTCCAGGCTGGCTCCAGATGTGGCAGCCCTTCCTCAGGACTCTGCTCCTCCGCTCTGTTCAGCAGCCAGGCATCTCCTGCATGGGGAAGAGAAACTCTAGGTTACACCCTGCCCTGCTGGCACAGGCCAAACACTGCTATTCCCTCTGCTGCAATGGGGCTGTGAGCACCCCTGGGCCTTGGTACTTATGTTTCCTTAAGAGAACATGGTCTTCCTGCCAAACCCCAAGTGCTGGGGGTGAGGGTGGGCACATGCCTGTGCCAGGCTTATGTTCATTGCGCCATGGAGGTCAGAGCCACCCTCTCATCTGGTACCAGGGTGAACAGCCCCACAATTGATTGCTGGGGCTCACCACCAGTCAGAGATGTGTAGGGAGCTACAGAGAGCTTCGACCCACCGTGCCAATTTCCATGGGGGACTACAAATGCCATCGTGCCTTGGGACAGATTGTTACAGAGGTCTGGCTACCTTGGGCTGGGGAATCAACTCTTACGCTGCTGAATGAAGATGGATATCGAAGATCATGGTATCCCAGGGAAACGAGACCTGTGCCTAATCATCAAGACAGCAAACTCGCCCATCCCCTAGCACAGGGGTGGGCAAAATACGGCCCAGGGGCTGGATGCGGCCTGGCAGGCCATTCTATCTGGCCTGCAGGGCCCTTAAAAAATTTAGAAAATTAATATTAATCTGCCCTGGGCTGCCTGTCATGCGGCCCTCAATGGCTTGCCCAAACTCAGTAAGCGGCCCTCTGCCCAAAATAATTGCCCACCCCTGCCCTAGCAGCTGTAGTTAGGGGGAGAAGGGGGGAACAGCTGCTCATCTCCACAGGTTGGAATTTCAGCGCGTGGAAACAACACCTGCCTGGACACACGACAGCAGAAGCTATTTGAGGTCAGCACCTGGAAGGGCAGCGCAGGGCAGGTCTGCAGGCTCCAGGCACCCTGTCGCTCTAGGCAAGGAGCATGTCCGAGAGGGGGGTCGGGGGAGGGGACCGCCACAACTCACCTGGCGGCAGGTCCTCCAACCTGGAGATGTCCTCACAGTTCTCATCATCACTGACCCAGAGCTGCTCCTGTCCTCGCTGGATGCGGCGGATTAAGTCAGGCATGGGACCTCGATATCCTGTTTGGGGCAATAGTACAAGAGGGCTCGTGACTGAGTACTGGATGCAGAATAACTCAGATCTGGGGAATGGACGCAATGAACCCATGGATTTTACTGGGGCCTTGAAGGACAAGGGAGGGTGGACATCTAGCATGAAAGAGAAGGAGTTGCAGGGAGAAGCCATCAATAGGTGGATAGGAAGGGAAGATTTTATAAGAACTGTGGTGGCAACAAAAGCAATGATCCCATCCAGCGGGAGGATCAAACAAGAAGGGGAGTTGAGCACACAACACTTGGCAAATCCTGCAGGGTTTGAAACAAATGTCCCAGGAGCCCTGGATACAGACAACAGAAGGCAGGAGACACCTTTTATAGCACATGAAAACCCATAATACAGGGATGGCCAATATGGTCTTTGCTGAGCAACAAAAAGCCTTGGAGCCCTTCCCTAAGGCAGTCCTTTGGGGGAACTGGAGGCAAAAGAAAGCGCTAGGAAATCAAGATGACCTCGGAGAAGGTAAGTGCCTCTGTCCTGCCCACAAGCCAGAACAACGTCTGGGAACAACAGCGGGTTTTCATGGACGGAGCCATGCTGTTGCCCAAACGGCTAGATTCAAGGAAAAGTCTGTGAGGACGAGAGTGCAGAGAAGCAGGAGGAAGACAATAGGTGTCAGCACTGACATGGCTGCAGGGAGAAGCCCAGGGAAACAAGGGCTCGGCAGGTCCTCAGCATCCGGTCCCGGTAAAGCCCCTTCTGTGCATCCTCCAGCAGCCCCCCCCCAGCAGCTCCCACTCCTCCCACGTGAAGTACACAGCCACGTCCTCAAAGGCCTCACAGAGCTGCAGGCACAAGCGTTTCCCCATCAGCGTCTCCTGTTCCAGCTGCCTCCAGTCCCCACCACCCTCTCCAGGATCCCTCTGCGCGACAGCTCTCTGCAGGCTGGGCCATGACACACTGGGTGCAAATCCCCTCCTTGTTAAGTGACACGGGAGGTGGGTGCAGCCATGGACATAGGGGTGGGTGCACATGTGGGCCCTGGCCCAGTTCATCATGTTCTGTGCACTTGGCCCTGTGCTTGGTGAATACCAGCTGGGTGCAGTTGCACCCCTCTCCCCAATCCCCAAACTTTTAACAGTGCCTCTGGCTCCTCCCAAGGGCAGCAGCCACAGCCGCGCCATGGTGTATTTTTACCACAATGCGGAGCATGTGGATTTCAACCGCCAAGGAAAAGTCTGTGAGGACGAGAGTGCAGAGAAGCAGGGGGAAGACAAGGAAACGAGGGCTCGGCACCCTGGGTGACCGCACCCTGGGAGTTGGTGTCCTCCT